TAAAGTTTGACTACATTTATTTCAGAATGGCTGTAGGGCCATGTTTTGGCTGTAGGGCAGTGTTATCTCATTGTGAGCCTGTAATTCATCAATAGAAGTGATGGACATACCAGTCTTCAAATATGTAAAAGGTTGTGGTAAAGAAGTCAGTGATCATTTGTTCTCCATGGCCACTGGCTGTAGAACAAAAAGTAAATTGGCTTAATTTATAGCAAGGAAGATTTTGGTTAGATGTTAAGAAAAGCTTTCTAACTATAAGGATAGGTTAGCAGTAGGAAAGGTTACCTTGAGGAGGTTGTAGAATCCCCATTATTGGAGGTTTTTAGGAACAGGTTAGACAAACATCTGTCCAAGATGGTTTAGGTTTATTAAATCTTGTCTTTAAATCCCTTCTAGCCCTATATTTCTATGGGTAACCATAATCCAAATCAAATAGGAGCTGATGAAGAGTAGAAGTTGCTCCGGTACAGTTATGGAATATATTGTTTTTACACTAATGAAACAGATTACTCAATTCCATGCATCTTTACAATTATATAGACCCATAGTAAATTAAGTTTAGATTGTAAGTGCCATAAATGGATACTAAAGCAGAACTGGTGCTCATTCAATGGGAAACTGTTCTAAATATCCAATTCTCAGTGCAAATACCATAATAAGTAAATGTTTCATGGCAGCAAAGTAAGCATTTGGAAGAGTGAAGTGCCTAACTGAAGCTGACAGCCTTCATCCAGGTGATCAGTAAAAGTCTCCAAAGTTGATTGAGCTCCGTGGGCTTTGGATTGGGCCACTGACAGGGGCGGATATAGGACAGGGCGAGCGGGGCGGCCACCCCGGGCCCCGCACTTCAAAAAGCCCCGCGCATGCGCCGTGGCGCCACCGCGCATGCGCCGTGGCAAAGGGGGGCCCCGCAAGATTATGCTGCCCTGGGCCCCGCAAAACGGTCATCTGCCCCTGGCCACTGAAATTCACTGCCGGTCATTACTCTTCATATAAATGGTGATAAAACTGTAACAAATATAAAGTAATTTGCTTATTGTGTTGAAAAGATGCTCTGCCCATTGCCAGGTAAACAGTTCTCTTTTTGCGGTTCTGTTTTTTCCCCCTAAATGTTGGGACAGTCCAGTAACCAATTGGAAGGCAGGACTTAATTCTCAACATTCCCTAGATTTGCAATTGACAGAAATCCTATATTGATTGCTGGACTTTATTTTTGAAAGTCAGAAAAAAATGTCAGCTATTGTTTGGGGATTCAGATAAACCCCATATTGTCCTAGTCACATTGCAAAGGCTTTGCAAATATAGTTCAGATTTTCAAATATTGAGTGATAGCAGTAGTGTTTTGGCCTGACTTATACTGCCATAGCTCACAACAGAAATAGTTTTGGAACAACTGTTGTGGAGAAATTATACACTATCTTGTACCAGCTGAAGTCAAACATTAATACTAATTCAAAGCATTAACATAATGCTCTCATTGTCACTGGAAGACTTGGAATTGATTTACACTTACAGTCTATTTAAATGAAAGTTTTGATGAGGACACCTCCACAAGCTGTTGCTTGAGTAGGAGGTATACTGTCCCCCCCCCCCCCCCTTTTTTTTTAATTGCGTTTGTCAGTGTGGTTTCTGGAGCATAGTAGTCAGGATTTAAGCTCTGGAAATGGGTTCAGTCTAACTATGTATAAAAATGCAGTTGAAAGTGAAAACACTATTCAAGATAAACTTCCCGTCGTCATAACTGCATGCAGCAGGCAGCCTTCTTTTTACAATCCCACAGAGGATTCCAGAAATATGCTAATATTGTAATCACTGATGAAGAGTTAATTGTTGCAACACTATTATCCTTGCAAGACACTGTTATATGAATGGAAGCGGAACTTCAGGATATGAACAAGAAGGCTGATACAGAAACAAAGGCCTCCTGGTGTGCCTTGCCTTCAAGAAATATGAAGTTACACTTTCAGACACACTGTAACCACAGACAGAAAAGGCCAAAATCTGCCACACTTACATATATGGAGCAGTATCTTACGCTATATGTAGGCCTATTGATTTGAATGGAATGATCCATGGCATAAATTGTTATTCAGGGTGAGTAAGGGCATGTAATCTGGCCTTTAAATTCCCATAAAATAAATGAAAACTTAGGATACATCTACACTGCATAGCTATTTCGGGATACCAGAGGTATCCTGAAATAGCTACCCTGTATCTACACAAGTGCCCATTATTTCAAAATATTTTTTGAAATATCGGGTGCACTATTTCACCATCTATGTAAACCTCATTGCACAAGGGATAAGGGATGGCTCAAAATAGTATGTTATTTTGAAATTTGCCCGTGTAGACGTGCCAAATTCCAAAATAAGCTATTTTGAAATAGTTTCAAAATAAGATACGCAATTGCATAGTGCAAATTGCATATCTTATTTTGAGTTTAGGGTGCTGTGTAGATGTAGCCTTAAAGATAAACAAGTTTGTTATAACAGTATTATGGAATTTAGTTATAAACACTGGGCTGGCTTTTTTTTTTTAAAAAAAAGAAAACTACACTTAGCTGTAAGTTTGAGTAGTTAATGAGCTCTATTAATGTTTTATTTTACTTCTATTGTAAGGTTGCTCTCTTTAGGATATATGAAATAATTTCTAGATGTTTGAGATCTGTTGAAAGTATACACATTTCTGGTTATATAAGAAATATAGAAAAAATTAACAAAATTCTTTAGCAGAGTAGCTAGTAAAATCTTACAAAGACCAAGAGCTACTCAGATTAACTCTACTAAACTTAACTTCAAACTAGGATCATATGATCCACTATCAATCAAGAAATTTAGCCAGTAATTTAATCAATAATCTCTTGCCTTTTATGAAAGGTATAAGAACATTTTCTAGAACCTGCTAGTTTTCTTCTAGGTGTCAATTTCAGGGAAGAGAGATTACATTCATGTCAGTCGCTCAGGTAAATATTAGTCTCTAAATGTAAGAATTTGCATAACATGTAACAAAAACTATGGCCAATTGTGTTGTAGCATTCTGTCCTCTCCATTTGTTAGGCTATACCGAGAAACTTCTCCTTCCTGCAGTCATAAAAAGACACCTAATTGTTGTGCATTGGCTTTTCTCCCCTGCCCACTTTTGAAAAGTGAGACAAAGAGTGACTTATGAGGTCTTTTTTCCCTGTTAACTTCCATCTGGAGTCTTGTACCATAAATAGGAAAAATGAAAACTAAACATAAATTACATTATTTGTTTCCTCTTCCTCTACAGGAGAACTCATTTTTCCTCTCTTAAAGTGTCTAAATGAATTAAACCCCATACTGCTGCTTGAAGATAGTTATCAGAAACACTACCTTCAGCCAATTGCAAGGCAGAACACTTTAAAGGTACCACTCCTTTGTTTTGTTTTGTTTATTTTTTAACCCTGGAAAACTATACAGCTCAGTGGGGGAAACGCATGGAAATGTCACCGCCAGAAAAATTGTAAGGATGATAGACCAGAGAGGGGCAACATGCGGAACTAAAAATACTAAAGCTTAGAAAGCTATTCATACAAAGCAATAATAAAATACCCAGTAGAGCCACAAAATTACCATCTAAAAAAAGAGGACTTTAATAGAAAATTTCAGGCTTAAAAGGTATTCTCTTCACAATTCTATTAGCATTTTTACTGCATAGAATGATGATGATTGTCATCCTGCAAGACAGACAACCAAGATACTTAGGAAAGCCACAAAAGTTGGGTATATTCAGGGATTTGTTTACCTTGATTACTCTCACTTTTAAGAGGAATCTGTGAAGACCGGTAAAAAAGTAGATCTGTCTCAGGCCTTGATCCTGCATGTGGCTATACATGTGGTTAACTTTAAGCATGTGCATAGTTAGTGATTTCATCGGCATTGCTTATATGAGTAGAGTTAAGCACAGGCATAAGTGTCTGGAGGCAGTCAGGATACTATGCTGTTTAATAAGAAGGGTTTTTTTAGGCAGACATCTTTAATGTGGGCAACTCTCTTGCCCTTCCCATAATGCTAAAATTACAACCTGGATAGGTGGATCTAGATAATTTGAGAACTAAAATATATGTGTGTGTTTTTCAATTATATTGACAGCTGATAGTCAAAGGCTCAATAAAAATTGAAGATTTTAGTAAATATTCAGCTGAAATATCAAGCATAAATTTCTTTAGTACAGCTATATTTTCTGATCCCTGTTACTAGCATTTTCAGGACCATTATGTAATTTTTGCATAGGTGAATTATTTTAAAATTCCATAGTGTGGTTTAGCTACTTCCAATAAAATCTTGGCCTTCCTCCTCCAAATCTCTGTGTAACAATGTAGAAGATAACTAATCCTTCATTTTTCTTGCTTAGAAAAGAGAATCCTTGGTACCATGCCAAGCAGGTGTGATGCACAGATATGATGCTGAAATTCTTTGGGAGTTTGAAAGGGGCTATTCTTTAGAACCTGAGTCAAGCTCTGGATCCCCTCTTGTATTTTTTTTTTCACTACAATCAGTACCCATTTGATGGATGAGGCAGGCAAAATGGCACACGTCTTTTAGGAGCTGGCTAGTGGGAGGCAAAGATCAGTCATAAGTGTAGTCCCCTTACTAAAGGGGCCTCTGTTTTATTCTGAAAAGACCCTGTGTGCTACAATCCAGACTACAATTCCCATGAGCCCTTGGGAAAAACAGGAAGGAAGGAGTCTTGTGTGGGAGAGGTCTGCTCTTTCCATGTGCTTGAAGAAAGGAGGCCTAGCAGTCTGGGACTCTGCCTTGCAGTTTGGAACCGAAGGGGGAGCCAGGCTGCTGCCAAAGACATTGATCCAGTTCAGGGGCTGTTGGATGCAGCTACAGGCCAGGACTAGATGCCTGTTGGAACTGGGAGTTAGCAGGCTGCTTCCGATAGGCACAGCATGAGGCAGTAAGTTTCTGGGCCTTGTTGAAAAAGTGCTGCCTGGGACAGAGCTGCTGTCTAACCTGGACCGAATCTCCACTACAGCTGCAACATCAGCGCGCCAACGCAAGCATGTGTCTGGGACTGTGAGTCCAGGGGTGTGCACACTCTGGGGTGGGGTCACTGGTAGTACAAATGTTAGCTATATAAGCTTCAGTTATTGTTATGTGTTTTGTTAATGCTATTCATTGCTAAATCTGTTAATCCCTGTTTATTTAAGTTAAGTAAAGATGGTTTATTTTAAAGTGTTCTATTAGATGTATATGATTTGTAGTTGTTCTGGAATTAGATCCAGATTTATGTTGGAATGAGTATGTTCCTGGAGGCTCTCAAGGCACACCAGTGAGTGTGTACCAGGCCAGCCAGGTGGAGGCTCCACCATTTTACAAGCAAGGGACTGCAGCAAGGGGGTGGATAGGACTTTCCCCAACTAAACACCATCACCACTGGGGTGCTCAGGACCTCTTTTGGGTTAAAACATCAGGCGCCCAGGCACACCTGTGAGCGTGACCTGCTCCCCAATAACCTGCGAGAGGGAAGGGGGGTTACATAAGGAAGAAATATCTTATTTATCGTTTATAATCAAACCAGGCATTTGCTGCATATAACACATTTCAGCTTGCTTCAGCATAGCTTAAATTTCCAAAGCTATTAAACTGCCTCGCTCCTAGGTTATGCTCATCTCTACTGGCAGTGGTGAGGTAGTTTGGCTACCAACATCCTCAACCTAAATAGTCTTTAAAAATAAGTATATTAATGGATATTTTCATAATCTAAGCTTGGGACCCTAAGGATCTTCCTCTGTAAGAGAAGTACAAAATTAAGAAAAAATGGCCACAAAGCATATTCTTTAGATGAAAAAACATCTTCTATACATGCAGGAAGAAGAGATGAAGAAAAAACAATATCAGATATAAAATTATTTTACTGATGTAAAAGGTCCCTCTTACAACAATTAAGAAAAATCTCAATTTTAAAATTTTATGTTCTTTTTTTTTTAAGTATTTGATACCAAAAAGATTGGTATCCTAAAATACTCAGATTCTTCTCTTTCATGGGATAGGGAATACCAGGTCAGAAAAAGATCCAAGATAGGGACATCCCTTCCAAGGAACCAGAAAAAGGCAGCAATTGGACCTGAACAATAGTTTAAAAGATCCTGCTGTCTCATTTCTCTCTTCTGTCCCTCCTGGCATCCAAAAACAGCAGAGGACACACCCTGTCAGGGAACCAGAAACACCTAGCAACTGGAGCCTGAATGAGTGCTTGAAAAACTGCTTTGTAGTCACATTTCTCTACTATTTCCTTTCAACATTAACAGACACAGGGTAGGAATGGCTTCAATAAACAAATGACATCACAATCACTGCAGTTCTTTAAAGTGATATAAATGCCTTCCATTGATGAGAAACACCCAAAATACAGAGAAACTCTGCTCCCACATACCCACAGTGTTATTTGTGCTTTCCAGCTACCCGCATGAACGCTGAGCCTATATTTTGCCACACCTTGAAACAACAAAAAACCGTGGCTTATTTAAATAGATTTTTAAAGCCTCTTTCTTTATTCTACTGTGAAACAAAGCTTTGATCTTTTCTACAGCACAGCATCCAAAGGAGTGAAGCAAATATGCTATGCAATGAGCATCTTCCCATGATCGTCGCTAACAACATGCACAACCAACACACAACACTTTTCCTGCCAATTAAGATCAGGAAGCAACACTTCATTTCCCCCTCCCTCCCGCCCAACACAGAGTACTATCTGTTCTCACCTGTGGAATTCCACCAGGATCCGTCCTCTCTCTCATTCCTTTAAACATCTTTGTGAAGCCACTAGAGGTGACTGAGAAACAGCATGAATTGAAATGTCACCAATGTGCAAATGACATGATACCCATTTCTACCTCAGATGCAGACCATTCATTAATATTTTGACTAATTTCAGAAGCTAGATGAAAACCAGTCAAGTGAATTCAGTAAAGACTCAGACAACATTGTTGAAGGGAGGGATGCAATTTGAATGCTGTCTTTCTAGCATCACTCTCTCCTTAGGATTAGGGTTGCCAAGCATTTGGTTTTCAACCAGACTGCCTGGCCAAAAAGGGATCATGGTGGCTCCAGTCTGCACTGCTTGACCAAGCTGTTAAAATCCAGTCTGCAACACAGCAGAGCTAAGGCTGGCTGCTTGCCTGCCTTGGCTCTGTATGGGTCCTGGAAGCAAACATTACATCTCTGAGACTCCTGGGCAGAGGCATGTCCACCAGGGCTCTCCAGGTGGCTTCCACCCTAAGTGTCAGCTCCGCAGCCAATGGGAACTGTGTGGGTGATGCCCGTGATGGGGCAGCATGCACAGCCTCCTGGTTGCACCTCCATGTAGGAGATGGACAAAAATGTTGTCTGCTTCCAGTAGCTAACTGAAGTAAGCACCACCCGGAGCCTGTACCCCAAGCCCTTGGCTCAGTCCTGAGGCCCCTCCCACACTCAAACTGACTCCTGTTCTCTTTCCACATTGTAATCCTGTGCCGCACACCAGAACCCACACCCCTAGTTGAAGCCTTCACCTCCAAACCCCTACCCCAACCTGCAGCCCCAAACTCTGAATCACTCATTTCTGGCCCAGTCAAAGCTCTTACCTCTTCTCACACTCGAATCCCCTGCCCAGCCTGGTGAAAAACAGTGAGTGGGGGGGGGGGGGGGCAAGGGGTGG